CGTGCGAGGGGTTGATGCATGCCCGAGTGGCAAAGTACAACTGTGTTATCGCATACAACTTGCTGATTGATGATGAACCGCGTTTTTCGTTTCTTCGGGTTCCACACTCGACCTATCAGTGGATTGTTGATGCCTTTATGCGCACGAGTACAACTAAAAAGAATCAATAAAGTGTGCGTTTATGAGTCACAATTCGTAATGTGATACATGACTGCTCTGCCGTGAAACCCTCGCTCCACTAAAACTTAAACGGGCGTAAAATGGGCGAAATTGCTCCTCTGTGACTCGGAGACCAAGAAGAACGAAAGCAATGAATTGGGGTAAAACCCTGAGTAACATGCGATAAATGTATATATCTCTATTTTCATTCATTCCATGGCCGCTTTATTTTGAACTGTTGCGACGATTGATTTTTATGTCTTCTTCGGTTCTTCATGTGCTTTTCTTTTTTGCCTTTTTGTTTATTTATTGTTTTCTTTATTCGGGACGTTTTCCATCCGTGGTAAAGATTGGTTTTCCTGTTGATTTTGCTGGAGTAACTGCAAAATTGTTGCTGTTTCTATTGTCATTGTTGGTTTCTCGTTGTAACTGTTGCTATTTTTGCTTCTTTAAAGGTTTTAATTATCTTGTTGGTTTCCTTGAAGATGATATTGCTGATGGGGAGGCTATTTCTGGCGAATGTTCCGTGTGGTAGCATTTTGTAAGGTCCATCTTTGTTGTGGCGTTCGTTTTTTTTTGTCATTACCTACACTAACAGGTAGCGAGAGCAACGAAACTACGGGGAAGAACTTAATTAAATTTTGACTGATAAACTGGTTGCAGGAATAGTGACAGCAGCACTGAAACCTCAATCTTTAGACGGAAACCCAGAGTGAAAGGCTTGAGGAAGAAAGTTAATCTTCAAAGTGACAGTGACAGATTGTGATAAAGAAATAGATACATAGACCGTGACACACACAGTGACGCAAGCAGCTGGGCATGAACCCAGAATGGGCTGTCCAACAATATCAAAAAAGAGAAGCTTTGACGTCTTTTGTTGAAATCCAACCGCGCAATTACAAATGCCAAAAAAAATGATGTATGGAGGGCGAGAAACCGAGCTGTAATCGACAAACCAACAGATAAATGGTCCGGAGGAAAGGAGGATCGCCAGCCACGTGCTCGCAAAAGGTTGCGACAATTGGCCTCAAAGCCTACCGTCTGACATGGGCAGACGCCACTGAAATGTTCGGTGTGAGGGCACGTGCTGGGCTAATCCAGCCGCGTAGAAAAAAAGAAACACCGTTGATGTATAAAATGTGCGCCGGGGAGAGTTAAACCCATGCATCCACTGACAAGGGGTCAACCGAGGGTCAAAGGCGAAAGGCCATGCTCGTCGCTGAATGCATGTTCGCGCGGAGCACCGGTTTCGTTTCTTTGTTTTTTATTGTCTTTTCTTATATTTGTCATTTTTAAAGGACAAATTTCCATGAAAATCATAACTTGCGCGCTGCACCCATACTGAGATCGAAGTTTGTTGCCAAGAAGCCCTTCCCAGCCGTTTTACCAATCATTCATATTGCCGAGATTAATCTTTCAAAAAAGTAATTAAAAGACTGAACATAAGTGAATACAATAATAGTATGAACTTTCACCTGTGCCATTTATATGACGGATTTCTACAATTTTCCTTTCGCTTTACTGAAGCGATCGATTAGCGACGTCCGTTTGTGTCACAGTCATGCGCCATTTCCTTCATTTTATTAGACGAACTCAGTATAGTGTTGCAACATGTCAGATACACTTTAACGTCACATTGCCTGACAAAATGGTGTGAATCTACAAGCGCCACCGTGCGGCCACTGTTGCTGTACTTGAATACATTTTGTGTAAACGGCAAATTATACACCATGAAACAGGAGAGTTCTCATCTTCCAGGGGATAATTACCGAGACGGTGACTTTAACCAAAGGGGACCGAGACACCCCTGTGGACCCTCGATTGGCCTCTCCTCGATTTGAAATCAAACGTGCTGAGTTTGGTATTTAAATTGGAAAATACTTCCAACAGCATATTGTGTAACTTAACGTAGCAGACGAGTGTTCTGGAATGTATTAAACGGATCGAAGTCCTTTGCAGACCCTACTTCAGCCTGACCTTCCCATAAGACTGTCGGCATAGACAGTTTATTCAAATGTTTAGCAACAAAGCTGGCAAATAAAGATGTATCTTACTCCAAACGTTTTGACTACTAACTGAATGAGTTCTCTTCATATATGCTAATTTATGCAAACCACGGAAGGAACATGGCATGACTAATCACAAACGTCGAGACAGTCAAATAGCTCTAAAATGTTTGAATACATTCAGAATACAAATGAAGTTTAAATCCTTAAAAAACGGAGTCGTTTAACCGTTCACCTTTAGGTTTTAGTTAGTTTGAACGGCAAAAACACTGGCCGCGTGGCGAGGCTAGCGTTCCAACGTTCATTCACAGTGCATACTCTACCAACTTCTTTCTCTCATGATCTGTCTTTTGCCATGAAATATTTAGACAAAATATTTAGACAAAATATTTAGACAAAAGTATCAAAATTTATACTCTTTGATACTTTTACTTCTAGGGACTAATACTACCTCTGGCCATAATCAGCCGTTAATTTATGATCTAATGTCAATAAGTTGTTTCACGTAGGCCTATCGAAGCAAAACTCCTGGGCGGAAACCTCTCTTTCTGATTTCAGTTCCATTAATTTCAATTAAGTTCGGAAAATAACATCTTAAATCCGTTTTAAACGGTTCAGACATAGTGGTTTCAAGGTGTAAACTTCCGGTGCTCTGGTCAGGTATCGGCATTGGCTTCGAAATGTTCTTTCTTTTTATTTCGTTTTCAGTGCAGTAGCTACAATGTATTATTTGTACTTGGGATTCGGGTAAGGTTTGAAGAACATTCATTTCATAGGCGGTCAGTGTGGTGATTGAAATCCCGGGGTGCACGTCTGAATCACCCCAAGACTACTGTGATAAATACAAAGTCGTATAACAGTGTTAACTGTCGGTTAGTAATAGTAAAACAATGATAAGAAATGCTAAGAAAAACGCCTAGTATAAAATGGCAAATGTGGAAGAAAACAAATGGACCGATCGTGAACTTCTATTTCAAAGTGAAAATTTAACAGTCCCTATTCCTTCAGTTCTGATTTGCCTTCTTTTCACAAATCCAGATGAGTTAGCATTAATCTTATCTATGTGCAAAAACAACCGATTTCCTGTCGCAGTGGATCCTAACGTAACAATGAGCGCCAGGAATTTTAGAATTTGAAACTCTTAATCAAAAGCTATTTCGTTCATTACAAATTACTCCCTTAGTCTGAGGGGTATGTTTACCGACACGATCCGTTTTGCATATCGGTGTGGTCCTGTGTATAGAATGATGAACAATCATAATTTACATCGCACAAATTTCATACGCTTAAAAATGCCTTAAAAATTCATGTAAGGGCCATAAAAGATAAAGCAATGACATATTTTCTACAAGGCCCTGGTCGTTGGGAAGGTGCCAGGGAAAAAAGTAACGAGTTTTAGTGAAGTGGTTTAGCGGTTCTGATGATATGAGCCCACCGTTCACTCATCGAAGAAATCTGCCTCGCACACCCCTTCCCCAAGTCCCCTCGGTCTGCATCGCCGCTTGTCCGTCAACGGAAGCGGCCCTTTGGCGCGCCTGCTCTCTTTCGGCTCTCGGCTCAGAACACAGAGGTAGTTAAAATAAAAATTGTAAAAAAAGTTAGCAGCCAACACCGACGGCTTGCTGGGGATTTAGGCTCTTTCAAGTTTAAGAGTGGGCGAATTTACACAACGTTCAAATTTCAGCCCTCCGAAGCCGAAGTGATGTAATTTAGAATCGAGCTCCTTGCAGATTTCATGTTCGCGATCAGGCGAGGTGCTCGTTCTGTCAAGGGGGTTTACTACAGGTCTGAGTATTCCAAACTATACAAGTATAGCCTTAAAAGTATTTACGACAATTACGTTAAACTGAATATCAAATAATGACAACAGTAGGCGGTCTCCATAGAAAGTCCCTTGATATTAGCAAAAGGATAACATTTTCCCGTTACAACTTGGACGTGTTTACCCTCCTGATCATTTCAACTTCAGAATGCATTCCTTTTGTTGCTTGTTCTTCGAAGCACTGCAAGAAATTAACCTTTTCTTTTCTTATGTTCAATTCAGATTTCTGGGCTGGCTAGTTGGGCATCTAAGGTTATGCTTCATTTCTTTCTCGGCATGCAAAACTTCATGCGTGTTCGGAAGTTCTTGGATACGATGTGATTCGTAGTTTTAGTTGACGCATGTACAACCATCCATTACTTCTTCAAAATTCTATATCCACCACAACAGTCCCAAATCCTCCGATTTCAATGTGATTTTACATATACCCTGGGAGGTTAAGGTTAAGCATTGCTGTTAAGTCAGTGAGAATGCAGCAGCCGTACTAACCAAACATGGGAGAGGTCAGTTTGCCTCATGTTGTATGGTTATCTTAAATTAAAATAAGAGAAGGCCAAGGTTACTGTTTTTTTGATAGAAAGTCTAAATGTAAATAATTATGCAAGCGGGGGGCTCCCGCAGTTGACCCACACTTTGCCTGTTTAGGTTTCTTGCTCTCTGCCGAGAGCAATCGCAATAATTTTTTATTTGCTATTATTTGTTAAATTTGTTTGTATTGAAATGTTTCGTCATGTCACTAAGGGATTTGGTCTTGTAGCTTGCTGGTTTACACCTTTCCTTCCTTTTGTAAGGAAATCTTTCCAACATTGTGTCTAACGAAATTTCACCTATGCAGAAAGAAAAAAACGAAGTAAACTTCGCCGCAGCTTTTAAAATTGATGAGTTTAACAATTAGATGATAAAGCCAAGGTCAATGAAGTTTGTGGATGTGTGCAAAATAAACATCTCTCAATAAAAACACAACTCCTCACGTTTCAAAGAAAATTTAAGGTATGGAAAAATGACCAACTTACCGCTAGGAGTTACCACGCTGACCGGTAGGGATTTAGACACCGACGACGGGGGTAGAAGGCCGAAAACCGCCGCAGCAGCCGCGGCGGATTGATGCTGGTGGTGTGACGAGGCGAGAAGTGGCGAGGAACCTGCGGGAAGGAGGGCCTCCGAGGCATGGAAGCTGGCCGGTGAGGACGGCGATGCGGACGGACTCTCGACTGTCTTGGGCATGATGTTGATGGGCTGGCCCGAGTCGTCTTTGTCACCTCGTCAAAATTGTTTCAGTCTTCTTTGGACTTTCGGGATGTCTTTGCAAAGTTTATCGACTTGCACGTTGGCCTTGGCTTGATTCCTGTTTGACGTGGTACGCTTATTTGTTCACGCCGTCTCTGATGTTTGAATCTTAGATTTCACGGACTGTTTCCCTGGTGTAGGGATGTTGATGATTACAATCGAATGGTGATGCCGAATGAGTCAACTCCTTAAAATAAAAAGTCCCTCCTTTGATCAATTTTGACTCATGCTTTTGCCCATTATTCGATGACGATCCGAAACCTTCACGACGAGGCATCGGCAGCGCAGTGTAAAGTCATATTTACTTTAAACCGCAAAACAGAAAACAAACCTTAAGTTGTCGAGCCAGTCAGACGCGCACTTCGCGGTTTTTTTTTTTTTTTGCGCCAGTGCTTTTGCAGACGACTTGCAAAGGACGTTACGATGGTGTCGCTATCTCGGCGCGACCGGCGAGGTCCAGGCCCTTATATACCTGGGGGCATTCGCCTGGCAACAGATGCACGTCGGTTAAACAAGCCACCATGGGTTGAACCAAACTCGCTCCGGCTAGTTGGGGAGTTCGCTTGCGATACTGGGGAACATCTGCCCCTCTGGCGAGCCCCGAGCTTTACATGCGCGTACACCAGCAACCACTAGTGAGTTAGACAAAACAAGACTACCCCATGCATATATAGGTAACCAGCTAAAAAAAAGCGTTGCACGCTATGTCATACACTGGCAGAATCCCAGTCCCTGCATTTTTTCTTCTTCTTTTCTTCTTTCCCCGAGATGTATCCGACTCGATTGCTTTTGTAAACTGAGATGGGCGAAACACAGGCGCCTAATTGATTTTTACGCCACGCGATTGGTCGTGGCTTCTGCAGCCACTCCTCGGGAACAGGGAGCGACCGGAGTTACGGCCCCAAAGACAGCCTCTTCAGCAAAAACAGAGGCGAAAACCCGGTGCAAGCGGGCTGAAAAGGCCACCACGAGGTAGTATTTCACGAGAGCAATTCATTACATTAAGCGGCACGTGGCAGCAAAGCCTGATTGAGCACCATATGTCGGGAGAAAAAGTCCGGCGGGGCAGGAGAAGAACGGTGCGAAGCCCCCCCGCCCCCGCCCTAAAAAAATCGAAAAGTCCAGCGCGCCGAAACGCCGGCTGCGCGGGGTTCAAACTACGCGCCGCTTCTAACAGGTGGGATCCACGCATGCGCAACGCCCCGGCGCTTTGTGTCAGTGAGCGGGTGAACCCGACTTAACAGGGGTTGGCACCCGGACGGGGGGAAGAAAAATTAAGGAAACCGGTCTGGGGGAGATGTGACGGGTGGCAAGGACCAAGGGATACCGGGTGGCGGGTGGCTCTCGGACCCGGACGCTGCTTGTCTTTGGCAGAAAAGACTCGTCTCCGCTTTTGTGGAATAATCTGGCAAATTGACTCCCAAAGTCACCAGACGAGATGCGTCCGACCACATGGAGGGCCAGCTCCTCTACACACACACACACACACAAGACGAAAAGTCAAACAGTTGTCTTGTAAATTAATCAGAAGTAATTCATATTTTACCGGTCTCCAATTCATTAGTCTGATACTGCGGCATCGAATGACTCGGGAGCAGAGTCGGCGAGTGCTGACGCCCCATCGTATCGCATGCCTGGCCCGCTGAGTTAAGCAACACAGACACGAACCAGAAGCTACACCGGGGAAAAAACTTATTAACTAATATACTACTTGGATTTAAATTAAGAAAAGTAGCGATACGCACGCCTTTTTTGAGTGTCAAAGACACTACCTAAGTGATTGAGAAACTTTGGTGCGACTTGTTTTTGTTGTTGGTACCCCTGTAAGACAGCACGGTATGAGCGTAGTGCCGAATAATGAACACGTGACGAGGCAAGCGAAGAATCGATTAAGGCCCCTCTAGAAACAAGCTCATCGTTGGTGATTATAGGGTACCAATGACTAGAGAGGCTCCCCAGAACATTCCGCGTTCACCCCGAAGATAATTGAGAAAGTTGTGGTGGAGAATTTGCCCGCGCAACACGTTCCGGTAGTCGACGGGACTCGTCACTTTGCCGGCCTCCTCGCTCGCGGGTCTGCGCTTGAGTTCCCGAGCACGCTCTCAGCAGTACTCGAAGTGTAACATCGTTGAGTGGATGATATTTCATTTCAGCACAGATGGACCGAATACCCTTGCCTTGTTTGCTCCAGACAACAGCTGTAGTTGCAACCAACATCTGAGAGGGGGGACGTACGGATCGTTGCAGCCTCCACCCTTGTTAATGTCACAGAAGAGCGGCCAAATTAATGTACATAAATGTTGGAGTAATTTTCCGCTTTTTATGCCGACATTGCGTTACCTCCCTTTATCTCCCTCCATCGAATTGTCCACTTAACGCCTTCTTCTTAACCCGGATCATTCAAATTTCAACGCTGACATTACGAATTTTTACTCTCTTTTGTCAGCTTGTCTTTCGTAATCTTTATCGACAAACCTGCCTGCCGCCATCTTGGGATGCATAATCACAATCGTATTTTGCAGGTCATACAACTCCTACCCTCTATCCTTTCTACTTCAGATAAACTTTCGGTCCACTGATCTAGTAAGTTTACACCTGTTTATGAGTAAGCGATAGCGGTTGTCCTTTGAATATTTCAGGCACAGTTGCCGTTGTTGAAGATACAAAATCAATTACGAGCGAGATTCATGCAAAGTGTCCCGTAAACACTGTCTCATTTTGTCCCTGTACCTTGCAGGATCCCAGCGAGCTCTGGCACTCCTAAACGTGTAACCACCAACTGTTTGTTTATCAGTGGCCTATCGGTCTGTTTGTCTTATCTGTCTGTAAATCCACCATGGTCATCCTTTTGTTGTTCAACGGGTTGTGCCGTCTGAATTTCTTCATTTTCGTCGGTCCTGGAAAATATTCGTCCTCCGGGTTTTTCTACCCTATTCTGCGCCACGGAAACTCTATTGTAGTCTATAATGCCACTTTTTAAGAACAGCATTAATGCTTGTGTTTGTAATACTTTATTCTGTTTCATAAAAAAAACAAAGTTGTAACTTTAACATACTTTTAAAAAATCAGATAAGTTTACCGCTTATTCCCTATCATTGCACTGATGTAACTAGTCAAAAGGGACATATAGAAATCCAGCATCGTCTCCTGCAACTCTCCCCCTCTCCTTTCTTGCCATTAAACTCCGCCCCGCCTCCCCTTCTCTCGGTCCAGCCAGCCAGTTCTCCCCCGTCCTTGCCTAGCAACGTCCCGCCTCCACCTTGACAGGTGATCCAAGGCCCGATTAACTGGAAATAAAAACCAGTCATCTGCGATTAATTCCTATGGTTCCCAAGGGATCCCATATACCCGCCTCTTTGTACCATAAACTTAAAAAGCATCCCTTCTATCGGAGGTTTTGCCCCCTTCATTACTCTGCAATTTCAATATCGTTTAATTAATTACAGCGGAAGGGTTCTACTTCCTCATCCCCTTTTCTCATGTCTAGTGTGTCCACAATCCTTCGATCTCTTGCCATGTTAGACTAGCGTCATACTACAACAGCATGACGGCTATTATGATTTGCACTCGATGGCTGATGACACAAGTGTGAAAAGTAGCGAAACGCCGAGGAATGAATATAACAGAGAAGTCAGCATCCAACAGCCGCGGGCGATTTGGTCGCGTGGCCCGCGACACGGGATGTGTTAGTAGATGCGCGGCCGGTAGCATGGAAGGTGGGACAGACCGGTAGGGAACGTTGCAAAAAGGTTGTTTGGGGAATGGGTTGACGAGTTGACTAAACCATAGACGGGGTGCGGCGTGATTCAACCTTGTCGAGGACGGTGTTTTCATGTTTGCTCTGTTGGCGGGTTGACCAGTCGTCTGGCCAGTTACTTGTTTGTTCTGCGAGTGGCTTGAGTGGTCAAGCTGGTTGGACAAAAACGAGACGTCGGGAATTATTGGAAACATACGGTCTGGTTTATTCTTTGAGAGCTCTCAATCACATTTGCATCAGTCTGTTTGTTTGAATTCCTGCCTGGCCCTTGAAAGCAATTCTGGCTGCTGAGTTAGCTGGCTACTTAGCAACTAAGATGACTGTCCATCGAGTGTTGGCTGCTGACTTCTTGCTTTCCTAGTCAGTTGCAGGACTCTCTCTTCGAAAAGCCTTGTTTTAGAATTGTTTGTCAGTCTCCCTGTCTGCATGTGTATACATTCCGTCCACAAAATGTCAGTCATCATTGGTGAATCTGCACTTTCCCATTCTATGTTTTGTGTTTTAGTGTGATATTTCTTCAGATCATAATCTGTATCCCTGCTCATCTCTCCGCTCAGTCTTCTGTCTACCTCAAACTGTACTTGCTTTCTGAAAGCGAACAGCAATGATATATTATTTTCCGTTTATCAATACCCTCTTCGCATATTGCTGCATTTTCTTGGGGATTTGGCCCAAGCGGTTTAGTGAGAAAAAAAGAGTGACGAGGAATGGTAAAGTTGTGAGCCATCTGGCTCCGTGAGCTTAAACGCAGAAGGTCACGTCTGCTGCCCAGACATTGGTTCATTGGCACCGGTCGACACTTTCTTTGTTAGAGTTACATTTTTACAGACCGAAAACATCCCTAAAATAACGGCAAAAATCATTTTTCTGTCGATAGTGTATTATAATTGCAGGGAAGAAAACCACGGCTTGAAATTAGATGTAATAAAATTCGCAAGCACGTGGAACTGCTGAGTGGGTGCTAGGGGGCGCCATCACGTCCCATGAAAACATGCCGATTTACATCCGCTGATTCAAGCAGTGTTGGGCAATTAAGGCAAGCTCGAACATTGCTCCCTGGTTCAAGAGACGACCACTACTAGATTTGTCCCTGGTAATCTATTCACAGAATACATGTTTAATATGAGTCTAGTACCAGACAGAATTGACTGTTCCACTCTGTGTATTTGAGCTTTGCCCGTTTGCCATGAGGGGATGCATATTTCTTTCTTTGTTTTGCCCAGGCCCATACTCGACCTGTTTGAAGTTGATCTGCGGACCACTCAGCAACCGTTTTTGTAAACGATAAACTGGTTGGATTGGTTGGAAACCGATTGTGTTACACCTCAACGAGGTTTGATGAGGCGGACGACCGGTGTGGTATTTGGAATTTCATGAAAAAGAAGGCACTCACTGCCTGTAATGCACATGATAGCAATGCGCACTGACAACTATAACACGCGCATGTGAGTCTAGGAGTCAGTTTAAGGAAAGTGAGGGTCAGTTTAAGGAAAGTGAGAAAAAAAATCACAACAGTCTACATTCGTGTGACATCAGAACCACCCTTACAAATAATGAAATAGGACAAAATTTTCCCCCAAAAAATTGTATTTTACTTGGATTTGCATGTAGCGCTGTCAACCATATTTCTGAGGACTTATTATTATCACAGTTTCATTTGATTCTTTTCCCGTCGTAAAGTAAGTACAAGCGCGACTACAAAGTCCAATATTTACGAGCCGCTTTGCCATATTACAGAAAAGGGGCCCTCGTTTGTTTACACAAACGTCCAACGGTCCTGTGGAGGCCCACGAGTTCCATTAAAAGGGGTCATTCAGTTGTTTTATGTTTTGTTTTGTTTTTGTTTTTCGATAAATCATATGA